CTAAGAAATGATAATGACCAAACTAAGCAACACAGGTCGGAGAGTTGGCTAGCTAGGGTTGTCCTGAAACGCCATTTTCATTTAACTAACACATCACGAGGTGTGACCCCCAAATTAATGGCTCGATTTTCATTTTAATCCAACGCTGTGTTGTGATACTATTTGTCCCCGAATTGCGAACCAAGTGATTGGATGGTTTGTCATTTTCAAAGCCAATCAGATCCTATGAGCTAGCCAGGACAACAAAGCGTCATGCATGGCTTTTCACAAGTAGCTTAGACTGCAACAATGTTCCTTAATAGGCTTGGATTGTTCTTTTAACGAGTAGCAGCCATTCACATTGAACAAAGTTAAGGTTGATCATAAAATTTATTGGCAAAATGAAAAGTAGCCTCACTTCTTATAAGTCCATGCAATGTTCATTTTCTCATCATTGTGAAATTTATTCTCAACACGCGGCCTCATGTGTGACCGTTCAGCTTTACACGTGAGACAACATACTTTGATACCATGAAGAAAATTGAGGTTTTACCATAAAACTAATTAGTAATATGATGAGCAGCTCAACTTCTTATAAGCATATGCAAGATCTTTTTTCCATTAACGTCAGATTCATTTGTAACACATATATGTAGATGCATAACAAAAAGGATTGGCCAATATTTAACAATATTAAACTGGAAGACTTTAGATCTCTGTTATAATAATTATCTTGTACTAGAAAGTTTTTTGCAAGTTGTATGTTGGACGTTACTAGATTGCCATGTAATTGTTAGAGATATGTCAACAATTTGTGATGAATTTATATATGCTAATAAATAATAAAATGCAAATAGTGTATGAACAATGAAATAATATTTAACAAAAATATTGAAGATCGAGGCTTGCGTACCGCAATGTTCTTAAAACAAAAATTTTGCCCATACTCAGTGCTTGTAATTCTACAGACGTCTGCTTCACCAAGATTCAACGATCAATTCAGAATTCCAGCACCGGAAAACTTAACTTCTGGCGAATTTCTGTGTGGTTCTCTCAGAAAGGATATTTGTAATTGTAGAAGAGGAATGTTGATTTTCTGAGTTATAAATGCCATGCAGATGGATGTATATATAATATGATTATGCCTGTTCGCAACAGGTATGAGGAAGGGATGCATATGTTGTGAGACATATTCTCAGAGGGGTGTTTTCTTTCTACGTTCTTTCACACTTAAGACTTCATCTTTTGATAATTAATTATATATTAATTATCAATTAATTAGCACACGCCAAAGCCCAACCCCAAGGGTGAGCCCAATTTTATTCTCCAAGGTTCATCACTTCAATCACTTTCTATAAGGGACAAAGCCTTATAAAGTGAGAGGCTATTATGGTGGTGAGCAATGTAGGACAATAAAATTCTACTCAAAATTTTCAACAGCAATTAACCTATTTTCATCATTTCACCAATCCCTCATGGTGTCGATGACCCCATCCGATGTTGTCGCCTTCAAAATTTTCCGAGTCACTTTGATGTATATTTTGCTTGGACGGTCGTTGTAGTAATTAAACGTGCAGGTTCCACGAGTGATAAGTTAGCAAAAAGACGAAGAAGTATTACTTTTATTGATGAATATTTGGAGAAAGGTTTCGTAAAGAAGAGAGGGACACAGAGATCATTTCACACTCACAATTGAACAGAATTAACCTAAAACTAAATCTTATCCTTTCTAAATTCTAACCTTTAACAGAATGAATAACAATATTCTCTAAGTCCAGTGCATGGACAGAGGAAGGCCCATGAGAAAAATACTATCAAGTCCACAGTGGTAAGGCTGGAAATGGAGTGAGTATTTCCTGCCATAGTAGCTCATACGGAAGAGAAGTCCTTGAGATTTCATAACACTTACTTGAGATTCATAATTAAAAATAAAAATAAATGAATAAAAAAACATGTTTCACTCTTCTATTTCAAATTATAATGAAGAAATTGCACATTTAAGCTACCAAAAGAAAAATGATTTTTGGGAGTCTAAGTAACAATTCTCGTAATGAAAAGTTTAATATCAGTATGCAACACTTGCTCGCAAATGAACTGAGCATTTTTTTTTTTTGTGTAATCAATACATGGTCATATTATTGGTACTTTGAAAATGTTGTCTAGCGTTAGGTTATCCTGTTAAAGAAGGCAGTCCCTACTTGTCTAGGTTAGGTTTAAAGTTTGATATGTAAGTCTTCTCCAACAGGAAAAATACAACAATAGTTGCTTATATAAGGTGAAGATATATATGGAGAGGTGAAGATAATGCACCATCAGCCATCTTTATCATCCTTCTTTGTCCGGTGGCCCTCGAAAGTGCCTCCGGTGGCTGATATTCGACAGCAACCCGAAGCCCATCTTGGGGTCCTGGATATATTCACTAAACTACAAATCACACACCAAATTACCGACTTTCGATCCCATCATTAATTAAAATCACTTTGGACATCCCAAACTAAGAAGGTAACCATTGGCATTTTGGGGGTGCAGGACCTTGGATATGGAACGATATATCATCTTAACTACTTGAATTGCAAGTCCTTTAATAATTTATAATTATATATATATGCTATTTAAGCATGCACCTCTCTTTTAATAGATAAATGTTTAGTTGTGATAGGAATACGGATGATACACCACGTGTTTTTATGAAAGTGGTGAAAAAAATTATTTTTTAAGTTATTAACTTTTTAACACACATATTCCACCATTTATATAGCGACACGTGATGTACGACCCCGTGTGACGGTCACACTGAAAAATCTCTCATTTCAATATATGTGTTTACCAATTAAATACAGTCCAACCAGAAAAAGGCAAATAAATACAGAAAATTAATAATTAAGCATTCATTCTTCAATCTTGTCAAGGTTTATACATGATGTGAACAATACATAGAATTCTAAACATTAAAAGTGCATGCATGATTTAATTAACTTTGTACCCTTGATTATACAGATAGGAGGTCAAGAATAATTTTCATTTATTTTATTTTATTGTTTTCTATGATAGCGGTTGAGATATGATGGAGAATTTCGGTTGGGATTTTTAAATATAAAGAAAAACAAACTATATGATATAAATATGACAATAATAAAGACAACAATGTGGTCGCAACAATTACTCTAGCCAGACAAAAAGAAAGTTTTGAATTAAATCAATGGGGCACAACATTTACAATAACAAAATGGGTGGGAACGTGCTAGTCACATAGAGGGGCCATGGATGTTGATAGAGTTCATGACAGGGGGCATCATATTTATAGTGTTATGTGCAACAAGAACAAATCAAACACAAAGAAACACAACCAAATGGATAGTGAAAATGGCTAAACAGATCATATATTTTTGCTTCACTTGACCTTCAACTATATTCTATACTACTTTATCACACTAAAATTCCATTTGACAATATTTTTAAAACGACTAAAAATGCTTTTCAAATAACTAAAAGCATTTATAAGTTACATAAGTATCTTTGTAGTGAGTAGTGCATTTTGAAAGCTCGTGTTATATAAACTAACATCTATACAATATATATATATAGGCCCTTTAATAAGAGGGATCCTTATTTTTCTAAAAAATTGGAACACCCTCTCGACCGTTCGATTGATTTTAATGAAATTGTGTGGTTGAGATTAAATTACAAGCCACACAATATCAATCACACAATTTTATTAAAGTCAAATCCAATTGTCAAAAGAATGTCCCCATTTTTTTTAGAAAAAATGAGAATCCCTCTTGTTAAAAGATTCATATATATATATATATATATATATATATATATATAGATATATATCAACTTTATATCATGCCATGCGATTGCTAATGGAGCTCCTAACCAATGTAATATAAAAAAGCGATTACTCCTACATTACTTTGGTATAATATACGTATGTCCGATGTTGGAGGGATGAGAGGGAGGTGTGGCGGCAAGTGATTTAACCACGATTTTAGTGGTGGAAAGAAAGTAGAAAACGGCCACGTGGGGAGGGGTGGGGTGGGGTGACCTGACCATGAGGGCCTGAAGAGGGCGGGACGCGGAGTTGCATAAAAAAAGGGTATCATCACTAAGGATAATGCTAAGAAAATTGAATTAGGATACAAAATTTTGAAAACTAAAGGACATGAAAATTGATTACTTAAACGTTGATAAACGGACTTATATTTTTATTGATAACACATCATTTAGTTTATATATTTAATCTTCAAATTTAACCTCCCTAGCATTACTCCATCACTAATCACTTGAACTTGGAGGGGGGACTGGTCCCAAATCCTCTGTACTTGATCATCCTTTCCCCCTTTGTGGGCATGCATGTGTCATTGTGTTCCTTCTCTCTTACTCTTATTTTATTGGTCCCTAATTCTAGAACCCCAATTGAATAAAAACCCAATTATTCAATGCCCTTTTGTTTCAAATTACAAACGTATAAAAATTTTATAGTTCAGTTAGTTAAAATTAATATTCATTGTTATTTTGCGTTCGATCATGTTTTTTTACATGACTTACACGACTGAAGTGCACAATTACTTTAGCGTCTTAAATTATGTAAGTTACTCTCCTTTAATTTATGTATAGTTAGGATTATGTCCTGCAATACATTTCTTTTTAGTTAATGTTAGAGAAACCAAATCTTTAAATCAAATTTGCAAATTAAATGATGTGTCATTAATAAAAAATAAGCACATTAATCAACACTTAAGTAATAATTCAATAATCAATCACCATATCATTTGATTTACAAATTTGATTTACAAATTTTAGTCTTCATAGCATTACCATTTCCTTTTCATTTTCATTTTGTTTGAGGAAGAAAAATTGGAATTGGACCCTCTCATTCGAATGTCCATCCCAAAGGCCTTTTCCACTAATCCAACACAATACGTGGTCTTCTCTCAAGATGTCTGAGGTGGACAGGACCACCCTTCCTCACAAACTACTCTTTTCACCACCTTCCCAACTCTATTTATACTCCACATTTCTCACTTTCTCCTCAAACCTCTCACTCCCTCTCTTCTCTCTCTCTTCTCTTTGCTTTCATAATCAAAACCATCCAGAGGTTTTGACAGAAGCAAAAACGCAAAAACCACCGCGAACATACACAAAACTATGACAACTCTTCCAAAAGCACCCAACTGTAACAGTTGGGCAAAAATGCATCACTCTTTCTCTTCTTCTTCTTCTTCTTCCTCATCAGTATTGGATCCTATGGGCTTCCCAAAAAGGTCCATCTTCTTGAAGAGCAGCAAAAACCGCAGAAGTTCTAGTAGCATTCACTGTGCTTTGCAATCTCCCTCGGTTCTTCACTTCCCAAAACAACCCTGCAACACACCAGTAGTTACCAAGGAAGCCACTCCTGCAAAACCCAAAACACATCAGCTTCCACAGTGGAACTTACTACAGAAAGCAGCTGCCATGGCGATCGACATGGTCGAAGGAGCGTTAGTCTCACGCGAGCGCCAAAACCCACTTCCCAAAACCTCAGACCCACGTGTCCAAATCGCCGGAAACTACGCTCCGGTGCCGGAACAAGCCGTCCGCCACTGCTTACCAATTACCGGCACCATACCTGACTGCATTAACGGCGTCTACCTCCGCAACGGCGCCAACCCTTTACACGAGCCCGTGGCCGGACACCACCTTTTCGACGGCGACGGCATGGTTCACGCCGTCAGCATCGATTCCGGATCGGCCAGCTACGCCTGCCGGTTCACGGAGACCCAGAGGCTCGTCCAAGAAAGGGAAATGGGGCGACCCGTTTTCCCCAAAGCCATCGGCGAGCTCCACGGCCACTCCGGCATCGCTCGCCTCCTCCTATTTTTCGCACGTGGGGCTTTAGGCCTCCTCGACAAAAACCACGGCACTGGCGTCGCAAACGCCGGCCTCGTCTACCACAACGGCCGGCTCTTAGCCATGTCGGAAGACGACTTGCCGTACCATGTCCGGGTCACTAAATCCGGGGACCTCGAAACGGTGGGTCGTTACGATTTCGACAGCCAGCTGGGGTCCACAATGATCGCACACCCGAAGGTTGACCCGGAATCCGGCTCCCTCCACGCGCTCAGCTACGATGTTGTTCAGAAGCCGTATTTAAAATACTTCCACTTCAGCCCCAACGGCTCGAAATCCCCGGACGTGGAGATCCCATTGGCAGGGCCCACCATGATGCATGACTTTGCGATCACCGAGAACTACGTGGTGATCCCGGACCAGCAGGTCGTGTTCAAGCTCGGAGAGATGATCACGGGTGGGTCCCCCGTGATCTACGACAAGAGCAAGATGTCGCGGTTCGGAATTCTTAAGAAGAATGACGTCAACGCCGACGACATCATCTGGGTCGACTCTCCCGACACGTTCTGCTTCCACCTCTGGAACGCGTGGGAGGAGCCCGAGTCCGCTGAGGTCGTTGTGATCGGCTCCTGCATGACGCCGCCCGACTCGATCTTCAACGAGTGCGACGAGAACTTAAAGAGCGTGCTGTCCGAAATCCGGCTCAATTTGAAAACCGGCGAGTCGAGTCGGCGGGCTATCTTGTCTGAATCGGATGATGTGAATTTGGAGGCGGGAATGGTAAATCGGAACTTACTCGGGAGGAAAACGCGGTTCGCTTACCTCGCAATTGCCGAACCCTGGCCCAAAGTTTCGGGTTTTGCTAAAGTTGATCTTTTTACCGGGGAGGTGAAAAAGTTTTTTTACGGCGAGAAAATGTACGGCGGTGAGCCCTTTTTCGTGCCGAGCACGGAAGAGGGCGCGTCGGAGGACGACGGTTATATTCTGACGTTCGTTCACGACGAGAAGAACTGGAAGTCGGAGCTTCAGATTGTTAACGCGGTCAATATGAAGTTGGAGGCTACGGTAAAATTACCTTCAAGGGTGCCCTACGGGTTTCATGGGACGTTTATAGAATCGAAGGACTTGGTAAATCAAGCATAGAGAGAACGGTAAAAAAATAAAATAAAGAGAGATGTTGTTACTGTTGTTGTTGGTGGTGGGTTAAATTACGGAAGGGAGAAATTACCAGAGGGATTTGCAGAGAAGCACACAAGGTCCCCGGATTTTATCCTGGAATATTTTTTAACCCTACCAACTTTTTTGGTTTTGTTAGGCAGGCAGACAGTTTTTTTTACAGTCATCTTTGGGTACTGTAATTAGGTTTTGACGATGATGATCGGAGACCAGCTTGTAGCTTTTGGATTGTAGGTAGCCTTTCGAGCTCAGCTGGTTTATGTTTCTTCTTTCTTCTTTCTGTGTTGTATTTTAAAGAAAAATTAATGAAAATGACTTCAAAATTTCGAGTTTTAACGAAAATGACAAAAATATGTTGTAAGTGAATAGTACATGAATTGACTTTTTAGAGTAAAAATATGATTTTTCGTTAAAGTAAACAGTACGGCAGCTTTTCGTTATCTTTGTCGTTTCTCTGTTGTAAATGATGAGATAACTATATATTTACACATCTGAGAATTTTATTTTACGAATTTGCACCATATGCAATTATTATTTTCGCACTACGTTTCCAGCACTCACAAAAATTAAGAAAACGTGAATTAAGAATCTGAAGCGCGGATGTTTTCGTAAATTAAGAAAAACGTGATACATGAAAATTAAGGAAATTCAAGAACTAAAACTTTTTTCAAAAAGGCTATTGAGAAACAAATATGTCAATGTTATATGTCCGAATAGTATCACTCAAGCCATATGAATCCATTACCCCTCATTTTTTATTGTTGTTATTCATAATGTTATTCAAAGTTCATGCAATATTTAGTAAAGGGTTAATTTGGAGACTACATTTTGATAAACCATATTGTACAACCTCTCTATCGAGACGAGAACTACATTTTCAGCTCTCCCTAACACTCTGTAAAAGGTCTCTCACGAACTGAGGTAAATTTTGGAGTCGGTGCATACTAGGTAAAGCGACATGCGTGCTTTATTTTGCACCCACGAAGAATGGTTCATTAATCTGTCACGTGTTCATTACATCACTTGTGCAATGGTATGAGTCTTTCCCTTGACAAAAGGAAAATTCATAGCGTAAATCTGTGAGGTTGGAATTCAATTAGCTAAATTTACAATATTAAAAAAGATTGGGGACCGTGGTTGCAATTAAAATTATTTACTCTACTGGATTTTTCTCTGTTGAATGGGCCAACTCAGAAACCTTTTGAATCATTGTCGGCACATAACCCTAAATACCCACCAACGGTCGGTTGCAAAGCTTTTTCCTCCCTGACCAATTAACCACGGTCAAAGCCAACATTAACGCCTAACCTTTAGTAAGTGGGTGATATATTTAGGATCCGAGAAAGAAGTCACATTGTGCTACGTAGGTACGAGTTCGATTTTTTTTTTAAAGCATAAATTAGTATAAAATATCATTTATACTAAAAAAATTTAGAATATTCATCACATTTTCTAGTCTTATACTGGTAAAGATTCCTGATTTCTTGAATTTCATGTCGGTATACAAATTTGCTTTCATAGATGCATTCTTGCGGCCTAGGCCATACATAAAAGGATAAAAATCATATCAAAGATGACTTATATGACTAATATGGATGAACATTATCCAATTTACAAGACAATTATGTTAGCAATACTGTATGAGTATTCTCTTCATCACATAATGACAAAGTATAGAAAATATCTTATTTGATAAGATTACGTATAACATGAATTATCGCTAGCAACACATATGTACACGATAAATAAGAACAATACATTTTATAGGCCATATAATGCGTCAAATTACCAAGTTAAAACAACTTAACGGTACTGTTATATTATAAAGATGATGATCACAAGACGTTTATGACATGATCCTCCACTTATACGTATTGAACATATGATTTTTGTATTTGCACATATGTTGCTTATCATATGAGAAGTTATGATAATGATAGTGAAACCCCACATGCAGCTCTAAGTCCCTAATTATTTCAATACAAAACATATGCATATATGTGTTCAAATTTTTTAAAATTAAGACATTTTATTCTTATTTGCCGCCGAATCAATGGTGGCCATAACTTTGCAAAAACATGTTTATGGCAGTGACAGTTACAGCAAAGTGGGGTGGGGATACAAAAAGTCCCACTTGACTTTATCGCAGAGAGGTTTGTCTAAAAGGCTAAGCGGTCCAGGCGTTTCTTCTCAAATAAATGATGATGAGATTCTTTTAAAAGTGAAACTTTTCATGGATCATTTGTCATCTTATATTTTAATATTAATTCATGTGTTAATATTATAAAATATTGTGCAAAAAATATAAGGTGATAAGGGGCTGGTTTGGTATTGCTGTGCTTAGAAAAAAAAACTGTTTTTGCTGTGCTGCAAGAATAAACAGCTGTGAAATAAAACAGTAGAGTGTTTCGTAAACTTTTTTGTAAAAGTGCTTTTAACAAAAAAAACAATGTTAAAGTGTTGATGCGACTTGTAAAATGACTAAAAAAGATATGTTGTTGAATATTATATAATAATTTTTTTATCTTTTCTTTTATCCAATGACGTCGACCCTGACGTGCCCAGCATCTGCTTAATGCTGCCCTTCTCCATCTCTGCCAGAACCCTCTATACAATAATCAACATCATGTCGTTGACGATTGCCTTATCGGAATCCGAGTACGATTCAGAGAGCTTCTGCTTCATGATCCACACGAACTGGGACAAGAAATCGTTCATTAACGGCTCTATCTTCCTCCTGCTCGGAATCTTGGGAATCAACCACCTGAGCTTGAGCTAAGTGAATGTATCGGTGAAATGGAGAAATGGGTTTTGGGAAATTAGGGTTCTTGATGGGTTTGGAGCTGTCATAGCTCGGTGGACGAAACGACGTCAGAGGCTGGGTTTACTGCTATGGTAATGAAAGCATAGAGCGATCGTAACCTTCCCCTGATAATTGAAGCATTAGTTACTACTTGCCTAAAAATCAAGTGCCGCAAATTCATTTCTCAGCGGAGAGAGAGAGAGAGAGACGAATACAGAGATGCTGGCATTGGAAAATTTCATTAAAGCCTCAGCGCCTCTTGGTTTGCGTAGAAGCGGGGTAAGTAAAAAAAGTTGTTTTTCAAAGCTGGGTTTTGCAGCTTTGTGTTTTTGGCTTTTTTCCACCAAAAAATGTGAAGAAAAAAAAACTGAAGTTGAATGTTTACCAAACATAAAAAAGCTCCCAACTTTTTTTATACCCACTTTTTTCAGAATCACCTCAATACCAAACCAGGACAAGGAGTCCACAAAAAGGTCCAATTTTAAGAGAATCTTCTTATATTTATTTTCTTCTTATATCAGTTGGAAATAGACTAACAAAGGTCACCTTTTACTTTTCTATATATATGCATGGTTGCTCTTCTTCTAATTGCTTAAAAACGAACTCTTAATTATTTGCAATGGATGGAGAGATACACTACATAAAATATATAGTACCTTTATAGGAAGCCAATAATTATAATTAGGTAACGCTAAGGAGACTAAATTTGTAAAAAAAAAGTTGTAAACTAAATGACATGGAAGTTGATGATTGGATTATTACTTAAATGTTGATAAATGTGCTCATTCCTATTGGTAAAAATAATTTAGTTTGCAAATTTTGTCTTCAAATTTAGTTTATCTAACATTACCCATTATAATTGGCAGTATCATCAAATGAATAATAACTTGAAATATAGTACAACTTCAAAATTTATAACTGATAAAAAGTTGGAAGCCTACTTTATTTTTTTTAAAATTAATGACCATGATATCATCTCATGAACTTGATCCAGGTTTAAAATACAATGGCCACTTTATTTTCTAGATATATATAGTTCTTCGAAATGCCCCTAGCGTGCTTCATATGATCGATTAATGTACCAAACTTCGTGCAATGGTGAGTCCTCCTTATGATTAATTAACTTCAAATATAGTGTAACTAGTTAGTGATGTTATGACGCACCAACGTCCAAATACTAAAAGTAGGTGGCGGTGGAGTTGACTATTGTAATGTTGGGGAAGGCAATAGACAATGACACTAGCTAGCTAGGGTTTGAGTGACAAATATGAGTAATGTTAGGTAAATCAAAATTTTAGATTAAATTTACAAGTTATGTGATGTATCAGTAACAAGAAATAAGCATATTAATCAATCTTTAAGTAATAACCTAATCACCAACAACCACATCATATGATTTACAATATCTGGTCTAAATAGTTGGGTCTCACCAGCATTACTCTCCAAATATATATGGCAAAATTATTCATTATTCATCACATATATTTGGTTCCATGGGATTAATATACAATTATTTGAACTGCAATAAGAATTTTGGCATCATGAATTAAGTTTCATGTTAAATTTGAATTATAAAGTAATGTTTTCTTGTATTTGAATTATAAAGAAATGTTTTCTTGATGGATTAACAAAGGCAGATTACATATATAGCGTAGTGGATCGAAGATCAAATTGAAATGCGCAAGTTTGGCAGCAAAATCCAAACTTTGTAGATTGGGATTTTAGTGTTTGATTTGAGCAATGAGCTGCTACTTGGAAGTGAATATTATCAGAAGTGCAACTCAATGTGTTGTTGTGATATATGGCTTTTTAGGCCAAAAGCCATCGTTTACTATGTTTTATTAACGTTTTAAGGTTTTAGAATATTGTTAAGTTTTTTATTTCTCTAATTCGTTTCCTATTTGATCTAAAGTCTAGGGCTAAGAGGCATTATATAAACAACCTTCAGGATACTAGAGTCTGTAATCTTTCATATCTTTTAATTAATAAACTTGAGATTTTCTTTTTTATATTTTATAATAAATTCTAATTTATTTTACAATTTATTGTTGATATATTCGCTTTATTAAAATCCGTCTTTAATTATATGAAAATGTAATAATTTGAAACACCGATTATGTCGATTCTTGCGAAAGTCGAACAAGTGTAGTAACAAGTAAAAAAAACATTACTCCGATTTCTGGTGTGTGTAGACTAATAACTAGTGAAACATGTTGGGACGTATTGTCCACTATGCTAACCATTAACTATAAGTACTAGATTATAAGTTAAGCAATCCACTAACTAACTCAATCACTTATATCACAAGACTTTGGCAATTGTCCCATACAACATCATGACACGTGTAACATGAATAAATATGGTGAATGTAGATGGAAAGTGGATGTTGCAGAGAGAAGACTTGTCACCTAACGAAGAAAACTCGACCGACCACAGCACGCGATTATAATCCCCAGAAAAAACATGAGCCACTCTACCACAGGCTCTTGAAAAAAATAATGAAAGAAAGAAGATTGACGAGTCAAGAACACGAGGGGTA